ATAAAAACTGATCAATCTGTAATTCAGGAGTATGCAAGATTGAAAAAATGTAAACCAAAGAGGTCTTGGCCAATTAAATTGAACATTACATTACCTCTTCTAATTTACGTTTTCTTTCTTGTAATTCCAAATGCTTGCAAATGTAAGGATTTTCTTTTGCAAAAGATAATATTTGTTTTCGATCCAAGTCATAAATGAGACGATTATCAACTTCTCTTGGAAATTGAAAGAAAAATTCATTTAATAATTCCACTTGAATAAACATCACAGCGGTATATGTAAGTTTCTCAGCCACAACATTTAAAAATGCTTCAGGACAAAATTGCTTGTTTTCAGGTAACTTGCATTGTCTTGACTTGAGAGCAGCTAAACGATATTTAAGTATCATGGAGCGATAAAGTTTTGAGTTGCATTATTTGATCAGTTAGTTTTAAAAAATAAAATAATAAAATATGAAATTAATGAAATTAGTGAATAACTGTAATTTATTTCTTTGATTTTATAGAATAAAGAAAAAAAAAATCGTGCAATATTAATATGGAACCACACTATTAACGAATCCTTCAATTTCTCCTTAAATAACGCGATTACAAAATAAAATATTATGAGAATTTTATGAAAATTGGATCTTTTTTATTACGAATATCGGATATAGATATTAATATATTAATATTTGTATCAGGAATATGGTTAGGCTAGATTTTTATTAAATAACAATATCATAAATTTTTATTTGTAAATTTGTTATATATATATATATACACACACACACATATAATAAATAAATACATGTATATACTGTTAGTGACGAAGTCACCCAGAACAATAGTCATTTCTAAATGAAAACTAATGTTAAATTACCATTATTATTTATTTGCTACCTTTTTCACACACAACTTCATCCAATATATCTTGATTTTTCAATTTTATTGATTCTTTCATTTCAGCCATTGATTTGTTCACTTCAGCCATTATTGATTCTTTCATTTCGGCAATTGATTTGTCCACTGCCTTGATTATTTCCTTTTGAGTTTCATTCACCTCTTGACTTTCATTCTCCTTTACTATTTCATTTATTGTTTTGCGTAGTCTAAATTGAGTGAATGTTGTTGAAGTAGCCAGAAAATCATCAGATGCTGGCTCCTTATCTATAAAGATGTACAAATTCCTTGCTAAAGAAAGAACCAGTATAAATATGCATGTCTTGACAAAGTAAAAATCGATTGGCCATTTCAACACAATAAATAATGTTTGCAGGACACTCGGGAGATAAAACCATACAGGAAAAAATATATGACCGAACTTTGATTTAAATACTTGGCCGATACCAAAACAGAACTCAAAACCAAATAATATAAAATAAAAAAATTCTGTAACTAACAACATCCCAAATAATGCAAGGAATAATAAGCCAATTGGATCCAAAAGACCTCCATTTATCATAAGAACAATCCAGAATGTTGTGATTACTATAGCTGGGAAAAGCACCAAGAAAAAAAAGATAGGTGTAAAAGAACCAGGTGTATTTTTGATTGTTTTGTTCCTAATTATTGTGTATACTGCGCAAGTTACATATAAACCCATGTTTACGATTGAAAATATCTTTATACTCTTCAAATCATCATAAGCAAAAGAAACCACCAGCGGAATCACCCAAGTGACTGTGTTGTATAACAAGTCATCTAGTAATGGCAGCAGCACATTCTTGATGTGCCCAGATTCCCCTTTCACAATGAACAGGACGACCAAAAATACTGGAAAGAGCGTGTTGATAATTGCATCGTACACGTCCTGTTCAGGTTCATAATTTTCGTCAACAATTGACGCGGTTACAAGTGTAATGAATGAAAATAAAGTCAATAAACTTGATTTTACTTTCTTGCTTTGGTTGAGTAGAAATCCTTTGTTCATATCAAATAATGGATAAAGTTCTCTCATAGACTTATTTTATTGGTATTTATAGGCAATGTATTTGTGATTCGACCAATCAATTAGTATATTAATATATTAATAACTCCGGAATTGGAAAACTATTTTCTTTTCTGGAGTAAACAAAAATTATTTTATTTATTGGGATAAAAAAGGCTGTACAATCATTATGCATTTTAGTGTTTTTGTTAAGGGAACAATATACTAAAAAAAAATAAAAAAGTTTTCCTGAAAATGATCAATATGAGAATGTTTGGTGCTTTTTAATTATTTCTCAGTAACAAAAAAAGTGTCTGAATAAAACAAGAAAAAAAAACGGGTAGGTTTATAGAAAAATTTAATTAATTTACATTGATTAAAAATCAAAAAGTGGAAGAAGTGTCGTCAATTCTGAAGGCACACTTTCCCAAAAAGAAAATAATTCTATATTATCTTGTCGACAACGTAACTCAAAATTAAATTGGACTTTATGCAAATTTACTTGCTATTGTATTGGACATATTGTATGACTATTATTATTATACAACAAGCGAATTTTGATTCATTGGGGTAAAAAGGGCTATATACAATCACTTTGTAAAATAATACCAAGGGAATACAATATACTGAAAAAGTATTATTTTTTTTTTTTCTAGAATGATCAATATATGGGAATGGTGCTTTTCAATTATTTGTTAGGCAAGAAAAACAAATTTCTCCAACGGGTTTTTGATTTAAATTAAAATCAAAAATAGTATTATTTATTTTTAGACAATTAGAAGAAGCGCTGTCAGTTCTGAAGGCACACTTTCCCAATAAAATAGCAAGTAAATGTTCTTTACAATAGTGTACTTGACTGAAATCAAATTTTTTACGAATACTCGAAAACCAATTTATTCAAGGATATGTAATTTATTTCGCAATTATTTTGAATATTCGTAACTATTTTGAATACTTTGGATACTTGTAATTATTTGGATATTCATAACTATTTTGGATATTTTGGATACTTTGGATATTCATTTTAAATACTTGTGTTTATTTTGAATACTCCGTAATTATTTGGAAAATCTTAATTATTTTGGATATTTGTAACTATTTTGGATGCTTGTTTTTATTTTGAATACTCGTTTATTTTGGATATTTTGGATACTCGTAACTATTTAGGATATTCATAACTATTTTGGATACTTGTATTTATTTTTGCATATTCGTAATTATTTGGTGCTAGTAACTATTTTTGATATTCGTAACTATTTTGGATACTCGTAACTATTTTGAATACTTGCAATTATTTTGAATATTCGATATACATGTTCCATGCATTTTGTATGGAATATGTACGGAATTATACATGAAAATGGCACATATTTGTCCTAAAAATGTCCTGAAAATGCATTCTGTACATTTTCCATACATTTTCAGTGCATTTTCAGGGCAAATATGTACGGAAAAGTAATCTTTTAATGTATAATTCTGTACACATTCCATACAGAATATGCGGAAAATGTATGGAAAAACCATACATTTTCTGACTAAATTTTTTATAGGATTCGTAACCATTTCAAACATTTGTTGGTAACAATTCACAAATGATTATCGACTGATAACAAATAATTTGTATTTTATTTATATCTTATTGTATGGGGTATGGACAATAGAAACGCGACCAACGTCCCTGAGGACGAATGGCACCCCTATATTGAATTCACTGCAAGGATTAATTTTAGCTTAGAAACCATACCCACTTTACTTAATAAAATTTTGAGATATTTAAAGAAATTATAAACAATGTAAATTTAAATAGGGAGTGGTTTACAGAAACCCATGCAGATCATCTATAATCATTAATTGCTTATAGTAACAATTGGTCAACTTCAAAATACTAAAACAAAAAAAAATTAACCGATAAGTTTTATTGTCCATGACTCAAGCTTCAAAACTTATCGGCTGGTTTTTTTTTAAACTGAAAATTGGCAGAGCCTTAGCATTTTGAAAATTCCGAATTTTGTTATACACTTAAGAAATTGAGACTAAGTAAATTTCGTGTAACAACTTTTTTTTCATAGAATATTTTCTACAACATACATTTGATTTATTTGACTTATTTATTTCCTTTTTTTTATTAATAAATAAAAGTTCTTTACAACAAAAAAGTTTAACGAACATATTACATTAAAAGAAAATCATCGCGTAACTTACTATTTTTCCTATTTAAATTCTTGTCTATCTTGAGAATCTGTTAACTAGTAATAATAAGTTTGATATCCCGAATCTGCATAACAAATTTCTATCGTTGATTGGCGGACCACCAATTAAGAAGTTTGATCGACAAACGCCATTATTGGGATTGGGGGGGGGGGGTTTTGGTAAAACAATTTTTTTTTAACAATGACATGATGTTGTTTGGTACCTGCCTGAAGACGTGTTAATAACTGGCTAGAAGTATTTTTTTTTAATTTGCATTGATATATCTTTTACTTATACAAGTATTTTAATTGAAATCAAAACGCGGAGCAGATCTTTTCTAGGTAATTATAAGATCCTCATCAAGATGGTAAATAATTGGTATTTGCTTTTCGTAATCAGTAATAATATTAATATTATTATAAATATATATTTACATGTCAAGGCAGCACACCGTTGAAAAAGAAACATTTCGAGTATACAAGGACAAGGTTTGATGTCGGGGTGATATGTCAGGGTTAAGATACAAGGACAAGTTTTGATTACCGGATATGTCAGGGGTAAGGTATGTGAAGGTTAAGGTATGGGCTTAGGGTCATACCTTAACCTTGACATATCTTACCCCCGATATATCTTACCCCAGGCGTTAAAGCACACACACTGTCTTGGATACTACAGTCATTCTCATGTTCCTCGTTTACACAAGGCTAATCTCACCGAGATACTCTCAAAGGGATAGAACGATGCAAACAGAGTTCCAGGAATTTCTGTTCATCGACCAATAATCAACGATGTTTTCACTAATCTTCCCTCACAGCACCCAAACCAGAGAAGGCTCTTTAATTTTCATTTGACCAACCTTGGTGTGCCTAAATTCCGGGAAAATCCAAAACAGCAACCCGTTGCAGACACTGACTTTATTCTAGAGGGGTATAACACAAAGCAATCATCACACAAATGTGGATCTTCATCAGTGATCAATGCCCATACGACAACAATCAAGCCTGGTCCGAGGGGAAAATAAGGGAAAGTTTTTGTTGACCTTATAAAAAAACCTTCAAACATTGGGGGGGCTTCACTTGTAGTGAAAATTTTCTGCAAGTATGGAGGCGGGACCATTGTTTTTGGTAAGGAAAATTTAATTAAATCTGACACCTGTGATCAACATCAGATTTATTATTGGGAAGGAAAACCCTCCCTATTTATTTATTCTTGTGAACTACTGGTAGACATGCATTATTAAAAAAATTTATTTTTGCATGGCCTTGGTATTATTACTACTTGGGTGATGCAATTGTTTGTTATATCGGCAACATCAAATGTATTGAATAATTATCATGAATATTTAATGGATGCAGATATTCACAAAGGAAAGGATTAAATAACAACAAAAAAGCTAAGCTTGTTTTCTTATCAACCAAAATATATAATTAATTAGATTTAAAGATTATTATCTTATTCCACTTTTTTATGATATATTCTTGTAAGATCTGGCGGTGTACGATCAGAAAGAATTGTTACGCGGCCATATTTTATTATTCTTAGAAAACAGGTAGAAAATTCAACATCAAAAATTCTAGTTAATTAACAAATTTCAAATCAATTTGCAAATCATTTCAAGCAGCAAAGAAAAAAAAACGACTCATCACAAAGTTTTACCCTTTGATTTTGATCTCATCCTTCCCCAAAAATTAGTTTACCAAAGTTGAGAAATAGGACGTTTAGAATATTCGTGCTGATTCGTATCGTAACTGAACAGAACAGAACAGAATATTCTTTAAAAGTGAATTATTTCAAAATTGGGTAAAGTCGTTAGATTAGGGAAGCATACAAAAATTACGACATTTAGTAGGGCACCATAACACGGGAAACCTTTTCTTCTTTTTTATATATGTTAATTAAATATTTTTATAAATGAATGAATTCCAAATCGTTTTTCTAGTGGTGATGCTAATACTAAATCAATAATGGATTAATTTCTTGCTGGTATTTTTTAGTAGTAGGAGAGGATTTTTTTCAAAAAAAGCTTAATTAATTTTCTTTAACAACACACTTTTGGAAAAGGCTCGATTTTAATCAAGTGATTTCTTTTTCATTTTTTTTTTACTTATAAATACTACCTCTGAACGTTTTTAAAAAAAATTGGGAGAGTGATCATGATCAATGATCAAAAGATTTATACAACGCAATCAATTTTATGAATCGAAAATTTCCAAAGAGAGATAATATCGTTGCTAAATATTACCAAAATATTGCCAATCTTTTCTAAATTGTTACAAAGTATGTTGCACTGATTTGATCGAGTTGTATTCTTTCGTTAAATTAATTAAAAGAACTCTTTATATAATAGAACAAAATATTATTTATTTATATAATAATGAGTAATAATAAAGCACAAAAAAACAAATTTCAAAAAAATGATTCAGGCAGTGAAATTGATTTTGAGGAAGAAATGAAAAAAAATCAAGATTTAGACATGCCTAATTCTTTAATAACTAAAATTATTGAGAATGCAGTAAGTTTTATTTATTTGCACAAACTTTTAACATTTTTTTGCTATAAAAACTGATATTAGAAAAATAATCAAAAAATATAAGATAGGTAATAATCAAATAGAGAATAATGCTAAATTGGCTATAATAAAATCAATTACATCTTTTATAAAATTGATAAGTAAAAGGTATAAAATTTAAGTGATAATATATTTTATATTTTATAATAATTAATCATCAATTTTTTTTTTTTTTGGTGGGAAAAAAGTGCTAATAAAACTGCAAAGGATAATAACCATAAAAATATAATAGCTGATGATGTATTTAAAGCATTAGATTCTAATAAATTTAAGGAATTTATACCAAGGCTAAAAGATGAATTAAAAGGCAATTAATTAACAAATAATAATTATTGTTTTATGATTGATTGATTGATTGATTGATTATTTTTTTAAAATGAAATTATTAAAGATCAAATTAATTATATATCTATTTTTTATATAGTTTTTCAAGCTGAACAAAAACTTAAAAAAAACAGTGGTGGAGCTTCTTCAACCTCTATTAATATTGTTGCTACTACTATTATCGAATCAATTCCTGACAATGACGTTGCTGTATCATTAGAATCTAATAGTAGCAATAACAATAATAATAGTAACTCAAAGTTAAAAGAAAAAAGATCAAATTTTTCTTCTGATAATAATAATACTTCTACAATTGGAACTTTTGCTGATAATAGCAATAAAAATAAAAGTAATAAAAATATTAGTAATAGTGTTATTGATGATAAAGATATTGATGGTGGTGGTGGTGGCGGCAGCAATGATGGTGATGGTGATTATAGGAAAAAATTAAAGAGGTCATATGATAATATTAATGAAGCTAATATAATATGATAGATATTAGATTAAAAGAGAAGTTATTGATCTTAACAATAGCATTAATAACAATAGAACAATAGCATTAATAATTATAACAATATTATAATTATTTAATATTTTATAATAATAACAATTAATCAGGAAAAAAATATGTATTTTTGTAATTAATAGGAATTTATAATTGGAAAAATCTTACTATTACTATCACTGTTGATACTTAATAATTAAATAATCAATAATATTTCTGTAAGAATTAGTTGGCTTGAATCAATACACTTGTAAATCTGAATAATTTGGGTGATCAGAACAAAATTTGCCCAAATATTTGTTATCTTCTTACCTTAGGTCTCAGGATCATTTAATTTAAAAAAAAAAAAACGGTTCTTTAAAACTTTAATTTTGTATGGTCTTTGCCAAATATTGTTAATCAAGAAAATTTCCCAGCAAAAGGTAGCAAACTTAAAATCATTTGTAATTGAATTGATGCTTGCAATCTCATTAATATGACAAGTTAATTAAGGAGAATAGAAGCACAAACTTGCTGTTAAGAATATAAGTGATTGAGTTCATTGATTTAGATTTTTGATAATCCATGGATTTCTGCACAATTCAAATGAAAATTATTCATAGCGATAGGAACATTTCTATCAATTACCATCTTAGTTTTCCATCAAGCCATTCTTTTGGTTATAAGACGATTGTTTATCAGATGACTTCCAATGTTTTCAACAATATCCATTTCCTTCATTGTTTTATCAAAGAGGAGAAAAGGATGCAAATTGAAAATTGTCTGTGATTAGAATGAATGTTTACAACATCTTAACCTAGTAATTTGATATGAATTAATTAAGGGAAACAGATGACACAAAGAGGAATTAGGCCTTTTAATTTTTTCAGAGAAACATTAGCAGTGGATTATTTAGTATTAGGACAAAGGATATTATTAATGAAGAGATCGAAAGAGTTTGAAAGAATTTGAAAAGAAGGTAAGAAACCTTGATAGTGGTAATTTCACAGTTTACTTTCATTTGGAAAAAATGGGTAGTTCACTATAAGGGGCATATCGAATTGTAAGTGCGTATTATTCCCTTTAGAAAAGAAAAGCTTATCTACAAGAAGCACATGGTAAAATGTAAATAGTCTATCTTTTCTTTTTAATCCTTTTGGTAATATAACTGCAAATTAAATTTGGATACGTGCTCTCAAGCAAATCTTGTTAGAGTGAACAATAGTAAAATCCCATTCACAGCGATCATTTTTTTATAATTTGTTAAATTGAATGTTACAATAGAAAAAAAAGAAAAAAATTACATATGGAACTGAGGAGTTTACTTTAACGAGCTTTGACCATGTTAAAAATTATCTTATGCGCTACTTGCAATGACATGTAATAATAAGTTTAGGTTTTTTGTTTTTTTCTGGTTCATTTAAATTATTAAATTCAGTACATGCTTTGTATGGTTTATGAGAATTATTAAAATTATATGGTAATAACGTTTATTTTTAATTGATCTATATTTACAAATATTATTAAATGTATCTAATAAATAAGTAATAATAATAATAATAATGTTAGTTAGGTTGGACTTTTACGTCCTTCAATATCTCTTTGTCGTCTTACAAGATAATTTAACTTTTCCATCACCTAAATTAAATATGAACCAAAACAAGCAATCATAAGTTTAATTATTAAAGAAAAATTTTTTTTTCAATTAAATTGAACATTACATTACCTCTTCTAATTTACGTTTTCTTTCTTGTAATTCCAAATGCTTGCAAATGTAAGGATTTTCTTTTGCAAAAGATAATATTTGTTTTCGATCCAAGTCATAAATGAGACGATTATCAACTTCTCTTGGAAATTGAAAGAAAAATTCATTTAATAATTCCACTTGAATAAACATCACAGCGGTATATGTAAGTTTCTCAGCCACAACATTTAAAAATGCTTCAGGACAAAATTGCTTGTTTTCAGGTAACTTGCATTGTCTTGACTTGAGAGCAGCTAAACGATATTTAAGTATCATGGAGCGATCCCGAAGAAATATTGCTTCACGAGCTTTTTCAAGTAATTTTGCATTGAAATGTAGACGATGATTGTCATAATCATTTTCTTCGATAACTTTATTGGACGCTGACGGTATATTATGGATGATTGTAACTTCCTCGTTGATTTCTGTAACAGAACTTTCTTTTGCCTTAACATTTGCACGTTTAGCTGCTTCTTTTTCTCCATCTAGAATATATTTTATTGCAGCTCTTAATTTTTTTATAACTTCAGTATTTTTGATTTGTTGTAAGACAGTATCACAATACTCTAATTCTTTTTCTACAAGTAAAATCGATCTCTTTAAACCTTCGGCCCATTCTTGTTCATTACATTCAACTTCATATTTATAAGGTTTTACACAATTTTCAACTTGATCAGCGGTGGTGGGAAATTTGTTACGTAAAATTTCATTACTAAAATTAAGCACTTTTTTACTAGTATCTGGGTGATGATTCAATGGTTCCATTGATGCTAATTTCTCCATATTTGCCATTAATACATCTACTACTAATTGAGTACTTGTTCTTCCTATACCGCTTTTAGTAAGTGTGGCAGAACTCATGTCAAGTTTATATTGCCAATAAAGATCATCGGGCGGTGTTTTTGGCAAGTCAACAATCCTTTTATCTGTCCAATACAACTCTGCACAAAGATCTAGCACTCTTTGCTCTAACATAGCACGTACTTCATTTCTAACTTGAGGTTTTCCAAAAGAATGTGCAAAGTCTTTGAAATTATGTTTAATGCTGTCAATGGTTTCAGCAACATAAGATTCTGCTGTCATTCGTCTAAATATCAACATCAATAAAGTTTTTTAATGAAGCATATATATAAAGCAAAGAAAATATATATATACGTATATCATGTAACAAACCTGTCGTTATATTGTACTTTAAATTGATAACGAGCCTCTTCTAATTCTGATTGGACTGCTGAAACAATTGAAAACAATGATTTTGCCATATTTTCCTCCAACACTTCCATAAGTTACCTACACAAAGTTCCAGTCCCAATTTGGATACCTCATTGTCTATACACATGATTATTCCTAACAAATTGGTCCTCATGTTGCATCAAAGCTGATGTAATATTTTTTTTCTAAGGGTTTTGCAAACAACACCAATATAACCCAGATGTAATGGATAATCGGTGTTTCTTAATATACTTGCACCAATTTCTGGTTCAACTAAATCCATTTTTGTTATAACACCAATAGTACGCAAACCTAAAGAGTCTACTTTGCGACTAGCTTTTAAAGCTTCTGAATTTGCCAAATCTACATCAGCAGAACATACTGCTAATATAATATTTGGCTCTCTGATATATTGCTCACATAATTCAACAATTTTTTCTTTTAAAGTTTCAGGTTGGTTTTTATTTGTGACTTGAATGTAACCAGGTAAATCTATTAAAGTCAAGTCAGGAACATTGGGTGAATAGATACGAAGTTCAATTGGTTTGTTGGAAACACATTCAGACTCTGGTACTGCCAAATTAAGATCACGTAATGTTTGTTGTATATGTAAAAAATCATGTATTTTTCCTAATCCAAGTTGAGGAAATTCACCATATTCTTCTTTAGATTTAGACGTATGTATTAATGTTAGCTCAATTGGTCTCCGAGTGACCATATTTGATCCTCTGAAAAATCAGTTAAATCATCGGGCGGTGTTTTTGGCAAGTCAACAATCCTTTTATCTGTCCAATACAACTCTGCACAAAGATCTAGCACTCTTTGCTCTAACATAGCACGTACTTCATTTCTAACTTGAGGTTTTCCAAAAGAATGTGCAAAGTCTTTGAAATTATGTTTAATGCTGTCAATGGTTTCAGCAACATAAGATTCTGCTGTCATTCGTCTAAATATCAACATCAATAAAGTTTTTTAATGAAGCATATATATAAAGCAAAGAAAATATATATATACGTATATCATGTAACAAACCTGTCGTTATATTGTACTTTAAATTGATAACGAGCCTCTTCTAATTCTGATTGGACTGCTGAAACAATTGAAAACAATGATTTTGCCATATTTTCCTCCAACACTTCCATAAGTTTCCTACATAAAGTTCCAGTACCAATTTGGATACCTCATTGACTATACACATGATTATTCCTAACAAATTGGTCCTCATGTTGCATCAAAGCTGATGTAATATTTTTTTTCTAAGGGTTTTGCAAACAACACCAATATAACCTAGATGTAATGGATAATCGGTGTTTCTTAATATACTTGCACCAATTTCTGGTTCAACTAAATCCATTTTTGTTATAACACCAATAGTATGCAAACTAAAGAGTCTACTTTGTGACTAGCTTTTAAAGCTTCTGAATTTGCCAAATATATATCAGCAGAACATACTGCTAATATAATATTTGGCTCTCTGATATATTGCTCACATAATTCAACAATTTTTTCTTTTAAAGTTTCAGGTTGGTTTTTATTTGTGACTTGAATGTAACCAGGCAAATCTATTAAGTCAAGTCAGGAACATTGGGTGAATAGATATGAAGTTCAATTGGTTTGTTGGAAACACATTCAGACTCTGGTGCTGCCAAATTAAGATCATGTAATGTTTGTTGTATATGTAAAAAATCATGTATTTTTCCTAATCCAAGTTGAGGAAATTCACCATATTCTTCTTTATATGTATTGATGTTAGCTCAATTGGTCTCCGAGTAACCATATTTGATCTTCTGAAAAATCAGTTAAACAATCAAAAAATTAGAAATTAAAATGCATATTCTTAATATTATATTAAAATTTAATATTAAAATCAAAGAAAGGAAAACCTTACTTTGGCAAAAATTTATGACCAACAATTGCTTCTAATACAGAACTTTTGCCAGAGCTTTGACTACTGATTACTACAATACTTGGTAATTTTAATGCCTCTTTATGATCAATGCTCATTAAAATATTACAAACTTCTATCAATTTTTTTTTAAGCACCATGAATTCATCATCTTGTGCTGGAATACCACGTTTATTTTTATGTGCTCCAGAATCTTCACCATCATTCTCATCATTATCTTTTTCTCCAGTCATAAATAATGAAGCCGCAGTTGCAGCAGCAGCAGCAGCTGATGATGATGATGGACCACTATTACCACTATTACCACCACTAGATGATTCTGAATCACCTTCATCCTCCTTTTTGATAAACTTTGGTCTATCTGAATCAGCCTTAAATGAATTTGACGATGATTTTGATTGAGTTGGATTTTTAGAAAACATATTTTTTACAAAACCAGGTATTTCTATTCCAACATTCATATTTGTTAATCCACCAATTGATCCTATTGCAGATTTTACACCATTAATTAGAGATCCAAGCATTTCAGAACTTTTATTTGCCATATCTACAATAGATTATATATATATAGATATATATAAATGTTTACATACATGCAAATACTTTTCATTTTGTTCATAGAATATATTTTACTTACCATTAAATTTATAATTTGCATGTCAAACCACCAACCCCTAATGTAAAGCCAGCTGCAGGTATTTGCATTGCATGAAATACAGATCATGGAACCGAAAATGACCTTATTTGTAGATCTGTTCTAGCTAATGCAAATTTTTTATGATTAACTTGAATTAGTCTGTAATTGTGGCTACCAGAAAACATTAATCCAGAAGTATTCTTTATGAAACTTGTGGTAAGCAAAGTAGATGCACTTGCCATAGTTTTTCTCATAATCAGGCGATCCATGATTTTTAATTTGGAAAAAGAATTTTGTTCCAAAAAAAAAATTTAAATCAAATCACAAATCATGTGCAACAAAACCCAAATGTAGTAGATTAGAACGGCAAAATAAAGACTTAAAACAGCAACTATCCAGTGCTAAGGAAGAAATCAGTTCTCATTTGGAAGCCTTAGAAGTTTCAAAAGATTGGCATAGTAAGCAAAGGCAAGAATTATTAGATAAAGTTCAAAGACTTGAAACTGAGGTTGAATGACTAAGAAAACAGCAGACCCAACAAACTGCTCAAATTGAAGTTAAAAAATGACCTTGATTGAAAATAAGAAAGTAATTTAAAGAGGATTGAGGAAGTATTTTACTCTATATATCAAAGAAAATGATAGTTATTTTCCTTTTAAGGATTTTTGCTTTTTATTAGGTAATAATGCATCATCATGATGCTTTCTTTTTCCAACATTTATTATTTTTC